AGCCCCCCAGTCCAGCCGAGCCCCCCGAGTGCTGCCAACCGAGGCGACGGGAGCTCCCAATGCGCCTGCCGGTCTGCCCCGCATCACACCTGCCTGCGTGTAGCGAGCTCTTCCAATGAATGAAACTGCCAGCGCTTCCCTTCTATCCAGCACGCGTGCACCAGGTTTTAATGAAGGACAATTAACATCTCGCAGAAGCGAGACCTCCAAGGAAAAACTGGACCATGTCCTGGACCTGTGCAAAAACAGCTCGTTCTTGTGTCACGGTGGTGTTCAGGCTGCAGGATCAGCCAGGGAAGAGAGCAGCAGGGAGGCCGCGGCTCTGCGAGCACACTGTCTGGCACGGCCACGCTTGCTGGGCCCCGCGCCGCTCAGAGCCACTGTAAACGGGCTGGTGAGCACCAAGGAGCCCAGCGGAGGGCGAGGATGGGATCCCCGACATCCTCCTGCTCCTACAAGCACTCTCCTACTCCCCAGGGAAAGCAAAAAACATCAGACAATTCATTCCTGTGCGACAACGCAGCGGCTGGCAGCAGAGCAGGGGAGCGGGCCGTCGCCCCAGGAGGTGGCCTCTTCTAAGCAGACCCCGCGCTAGAAGGGCTGGTCGTTGATGCTGGAGCAGTACTCCAAGTAGTTGAACTCCTTGACAGAGAACGTCACACTGCTCCACTTCTTGTACCTCCTCTTTTCAGCCGGGGTCTCCACCACAAAGTTTTTGATGCAGAGGATGGGCAACTTCACCTCCCGGTAGATCATCTCCATTCCCCAGTCCTGCGTGGGCAGAGGGGACAGTCACAAACCCAGGACCCGCAGTGCATCTCAGTGCTGGGTGCTGGAAGCAGCACCTTGCTCCCGGGGCACGTCCCCCTTTGGAGACAGGTGCCCGTGTCCACGTCCCCCATCTGCGATGCACACGTCACACAGGCACGTGCTGAGTGGAAGCAGAGCCTCCGTTTCTCAGCCAGGATAACGAGGCAAGAGCTCTTGTACAAGGCTAGTGACACAGTCCCTTGTCCTTCCACCTTTGACTCAGCTACAGCTACAGGCGAGGGCCCACGAAAACCAAACAGCTGGGGATTTGCTGCGTGCCTCACTCACCTGGCTGCACTCATTGCACACGATGCGGCATCCAGGCTCCCAGTCCTTGAAAGTCCGCTCAAATTGCACTTTCCCAGGTGTGACTTTGTAATAAAACCTGTGAGGAAGCAACCAAAAGGCATAGTAAGGAGGATGCTCCAGGGGACATAAACCAGGTAGTAGATGTGCTCCCATACAAACGCAGTGCCACAAAGTCCAAGGGACCTCCCTGTACTGCTTACCCCAAGAAAGAGACCCACTGCAGCAACTCTGCCCCAACAACCTTGCTAGGGGGTTGCTGCCATCTGCCCTGCCCGGGCCTAGGCAGAGCGCGTGACAGCTCACGTGAGGGACGCCCGACTGCCGGGGCTCTGCCCGCTCCTGTGCCGGTGCCCAGCTCCTACCTGAACAGGGGGTTGATGTTGACATGGTGCATGCCCTCCACAGTGCGAATGTCGCTGCCGTGGCACACTGCCACGCTGCAGTTGACACAGTAGAGGTAAACAGTGTCTGGGTCATGCAACTGCTGCCTCTCGCTGTTCCTGGCTTCCTTCATCAGGCAGCTGGCAACGGCATTTCGCTGCAGCTCCATAATCTGGGAAAGAGGGCCGGGAGGAGACAGGACAGCAGGGAGGGCATGGGTCAGCGCAGGCGTAACAGCGTCACAGACAGACACAGATACCGTGAAAGACATGGCCGTGGAGAGGTGCGCTGCTCTGCAGAGAGCGAGAGGCACAGCAGGAGAGACTCGCACAGCAAGCGCATGCGCTGCCCCGTGCACCTCTTTGAAAGGCCAGCATTTTGCTTACCCCGCCTAGGATCTGGTGCTGCCCCAAGGGGAGAGCACACAGCCAAAAGCCAGCATGCAGGACGCGGCCACGGGGCAGATGCTGTGCCAAGCGCTCACCTTGAGGCGGTATTCCCTTTCAGGCATGTCTTGCACCTCCCTGATCGCCCTGACCATGAGCTCTATGAGCTCCTCATTGAGCAGCTCCCGGGAGACCTCTCTGCTGCTTGCTTTGGCGAGGACGGTGTACACGCTGTTCTCGGCACGGGCACGGCCTCTGGCCTGCAGCAGAAGGGCACGCACATCAGCAAAGAAGGGCTGCAGCTGGCCCCCTCTCCTCTCCGCCATCAGCCCCAGGCTGCAGGGCTTCTCACGGCACTGCACACTCCTCCCCTGCCTCCCCGTGAGGCCGGATCCATCCTCCCACCCTGTTACATTCCCGTTACAAGGAAACGCTCTGCCAGAGGCTGGGCTCATCCCGAGGGTGTGCACCCTCGCAGCCATCAGAGGGTGCACAGGGCGCGAGAGGGCCCGCGTGTCCCAGCTGGGCATTGGGGCATCCTGGCAGGCTGTCACCCTAGCAGGGCTGGGCACATGGAGCCAGAAGAGCAGCTGGAGGGAGCCTGGCCACCTGCCTGCATCATGGCAATCTCGTTGGTCATCAGTCCGTAGCGAACCACAATGTTGCACTCCGGGATATCCAGGCCCTCCTCAGCCACGCTGGTTGAGAAGAGCAGGTTGAGGTCTCCCTTGCGGAACAACTTGATCACATCCTGCTGCTCGTTCTGGGAGGAAAGAGAGACGGACACTTCAGCAGCTCCCTTCTGGAGCAGGGTCCATGGGGGTTGCCTGGGCTCCTAGTCCCTGGGAGCACCCACAGCCCCCACAAACATCCAAGCAGCAAGTTTCAGTGCCTGTGTGCAGAGCGGGAAGGGCAAAATGGCTTCAGCGTCGGGCTCCTGAGATCCCCCATCCACTCCCTGTTATCCGCTGCACAGTTTCACAGAAACTGGCCTGGCCCCGGCCTCTCCCTTAAGACCCATAGCCCAAAAGAGCCGTTGCAAGCCCTTATTCACCTGTGTCATGTGCTTGGTCTGGCTGCTGTAACCAGCCCCGGTCAGAACAGCAGCCCTGATGTCCAGCCCATGGAGCGACACCGTGTCCTGCAGCCAGCTGTGCAGGCTGTGGGCGCTCTGGCGGGTCTTGGTAAAAACAATGCCACGAGAAGTGCCCAGAGACTGGAACTGCTCCTGCAGGATCTCCTCCAGCTTACTCAGCCTGGGGTTCTCGTACTGCTGATTCCTGGCAAGCTCCAGTAGGCACATCCTATTCTCTGTGCAGGACAGATGGGGAATGAGAAGTGCTCCCTGCTCCCTCCAATGTGGCCTGGACCCAAAATCCCCTGGCTGTGCCCACCCAGGTCCTTCCTTTACCCTCAAACGTGGCAGCGAGGAAACGCTCTGTCGGATCCTTCATATCCCTTTCCAAGAGGTAGAACTCCCTGAGGCACTGGAAGGCGTCGATCATGCGCACCGTGTCATTGATCAGCAAGGCGTCATTGTACTTCCGCAGGTGCAGTGCACACACGCGTGTCTTGCGACAGAACGTCTCTGCTGCTGCAGAGGGACAGGACACACTGTGGTCACAGCCCGGCCCCCCCTGTAGCTATCAGCTCTGCCTCTGTACACATCCTGCACAGGCTCAGCACCTCACCCTGCTTCTGCCCTGCAAATGCCCTGCCACTGCTCAACCTCCTCACCTTTCTTCTCCAACTCCATGATGCGCTGCTCATAAATCTGCGTGCCAAAGTCCTGCGACAGGCCAGGCGTGCCCATGTACTGCTCGATCTGGCGCATGATCTTCTTCAGCAGCTCTCCAAAGGGGTCCTGGGAGCAAAGAAGGGCTCAGCATCCAAGGAAGCAGGGACATTCAGGTACAGCTCAGAGAGCATCTGGCCTAGGGTCAGGAGCTGTTTGCACAGCGAGACCCAGGTGGTTATGGGACCCCCACTGCATGAAAGCGCTGGGTCAACTGATTGCTCAGACTATCTTGAGCTAAGCAGATGGAGGGTCATAAATCTCCTAGGTGAAGGCCTCCTTTCAACTGCAGCAGGTCTCAGGGGCTTTGCTTGGAGAGGGTCCACATCTTCTGTATGGGGAGCACCCCCTGGGAGTTCAACACACCGCTCCTTACCTGTGCTCTCTCCTGGCACAAGTCGTACTGCTTCCTGGGCTGAGGGACTTGGGTCTGCAGGTGATGGAGATGCTCCTGGGCCGACATGATTTTAGCAGTATCCAGGTTGGCACAAATCTTAAAAAAAAAAAAATCCCCACATCCAGATGCTGGATGAGCCACTGCAGGGGCACCTCCCCAGCACCAGCTCTGAACCACAGAGGTCCAAAGAGCAACTCAGTGCATGGCACTTGCTGGCACCTCAGCAAGTTTTGGGATGTCTCCACTGTGCCCAGGCCAGCCTGCTGCACAGTGTCTACACAGCAGAGTCATCAACCTCCATCCCCCAGGGACACTCCCACAAAATGCTAGGAGAAGCCATACTGCGGCTCTGGGCTGTTATGGCCTTGCAATCTCTGGGGCCTATTCCCAGCAGGAGCGCTCAGCACACAGGATGGGAGGGCACAGCCCACAGCCGACTACCTGCAGGATGTGCTCTACAGCTCCTTTGAAGGACGTTGCACCCCCAGTGCCGGGTGACGCCGTCAGGCCCAGGATCTGCGGCAGGTTCTGCTGCCCTTTCAGTTTGTGCTGGAGGTAATTCAGCATGATTTTGTTGTAGACACCATCCTTGTGCGTGTGGTGGCACTCGTCTATCACCAGCAGGGAAAAATCTGTGCCAGGGTGAGGGAGAAGATCCGGGATGAGCAATGCGGAAGCAGGCTGGGAGCTGCAGTTGCTCAGCCCAGGGCAATCCCACGCCATTCACCCTCCACAGCACGGTTGCATGGAGAGGAACAAACCCTCTGACTGCAGTGCTTCAACCCTGCAACCTACCTGTCAGCTCCACGTGCGTGTCCTCCTCCTTGCTGACCAGCGCATTCTGCAGGATCTGGGCAGTGCAGATCACAATGTCGCTCTGCTTCACCACCCAGGCAAAGAAGAATTTCTGGTTGCTGTCCCCACTGATGGCTGTGATCCTGAAGGCGCTCTGGAGCACGTGGAACTCCTTCTTGGCATGCTGGTCCACCAGGTGCACCTGCCAAACCACGCAGCTCCCGTGAGAAACCTGGCTGCCAGCAGCTCAGCCCCTGCCTGGAAACGCCGACCAGGGAGTGGTGCTGAGCTGACTTACCCGGCAGCCAGCAGGCGCTGGAAACACGCACCCCATTATCCCCCTAGGCAGGGGCCAGGGCTGTCAGACTGAACCACCCCCATGGAGAGCTTCAGGTCCAGCTGGGAAGGGTGGCAGGGCTGGGCTGTCTGGCTCGGGGTGGACTTGCCCCCCTCGTTGCATCTCCCCTCTCCCCTCAAAGGCAGGAGCCCCCCAGTACCTTGTTGACCAGCACGGCCACCTTGCCCTGCTGCCTGGTCTCCAGGTGCCTCTTGCAGACGTGGACGGCAGCACGGGTCTTGCCAGCACCCGTGGGCAGCCAGATGATGCTGTTCTCACCACCCAGGGCCGGGGTGATCACCTCCCACTGGTAGTCCCGTAGCTCCAT